GTGTGTGTGTGTGTGTGTGTGTGTGTGTGTGTGTGTGTGTGTGTGTGTTCAGTGGGTTTGACAGGAACTAAACTGGGCTGTGCTGAAGGAGGATGTGGCGCCTGTACAGTCATGCTGTCCAGATTTCAGCCACACACCAAACAGCCCCTGTATCCTCTCTGTGTGGAAATGAATCTTGCTACAGCTGTAGTCATGTGCTTCCATCTGACATTTCAGATTTCCCTGATTTCACAGATGTTAGAACACATTTATACTTAACTGCATTCAGTCATTATGCCGTCAACGCCTGCCTCGCCCCCCTCTGCTCCCTGCACATGGTTGCTGTAACAACAGTAGAGGGAATCGGCAGTCTTGCAAGGAAACTGCACCCCGTACAGGTAAACGAAAGACACCTTATTGCCCGAAAGAAGATATAATGTCATCTTTCAGCCCCAAATCAGGGTTGGACAAAAAAGACAGCCTTTAACAGAAATCAATGCTGAAAGTATCTAAAAAGAAGAATAGTACTCTGAAACTCTGTTTAATGTGTTTTGATGTTTAGGAACGAATTGCCAAGTCTCACGGCTCACARTGTGGTTTCTGCACACCTGGAATCGTAATGTCCATGTATGCATTACTGAGAAACAACCCCACACCAAAGATGGYCGACGTGGAAGAAGCCTTCCAAGGTTCCGAAGTTTGTTAGTTTCACTTCATGTGCTGTTGATTGACAGACTAATCAGCTAAAAACAACTCAGAACTACATTACGTTATAAAAATATGGCTGTAACCTGATTTCAGTTACWTGTCATTTACCTTGTCATTACTGTATTAGAATTGAATGTTTTTACGTGAGTTTTTACATAACACAACAGAAATGAGATACTGACAATAGAATAAAAAAGAATAAAAGACTAAATATAATAATAAGACTTTGCTTTATATTTCTTTATTTTTTTTTACTTTGTGATTGTAAAATGATTTAGGAGGACTTTATAGTAGAAAACACTGATTATACCACAATCCATTGGAGTTTCCAGTAATATAGTGTGTACAATTAGCACAATATTACAGTAAAATACTGTCAAAGTTTCAAAAATGTTACTTTCTTTCAGGAAATCTTTGCCGTTGCACTGGATATAGACCCATTCTGCAGGGTTATAAAACTTTCTCTGTGGTAAGATTACATTTATAATATTTAGGTTGAATTAATTATATAGCGTTGTTTCTGGACCTTTATTTTGGTGGTGTATTTCCTGCAGGATGGGGGATGCTGTGGTGGTAAAGAGAATTATGAGTGCTGTATGAAGAATGGGAACAAAGATCTCCAAATCTCAAAAGAAAACTGTGATGTAAGTCTGATTAATGGTCAGTGCTGTTAAGAAATGTGCTCAGATCATTCAATTAAAGGCTTTATGCATTTCTGAACAGGAAGTGACTTCCCTCTTCAATACCGAAGACTTTGAACCATATGACCCCACACAGGAAGTCATCTTCCCCCCTGAACTTATGGTAAACACACCACAAAACACACTGATGTGCAACATGTTCAGAAAACTGATTTTTAACAAACTATGTCAGTCCATCAAGATATACATTTCACTCATACAAACCAGTATATCATCAGCATACAGTCAAATGTATTATTTTATTTTGGACAACAATTTTGGGTAAAGGACAGGTACAATGTATGTGGGACAAGAAAGTAGCACTTTTAGATTTGGAAAGTGATTGTTGATTGTTTGTGGTCATATCATTTAAATGAGAGGTTCTCAAACTGGGGTCCCAGGACCCCCAGCAGTTCACGAGCCATAACTTGGGGGTCCTCAAATAATTGCAATAAATTGCAATTGTTTTTATTGTAAAATAATGCATATAATAAACACACTAAACCAAACAAAACGTAATATTCTTATGGCATTTAGGGGTTAAAGTGAAAGTGATTAAAAAAACAGCATAGGTTTTAGGAGGGGGTCCCTGGAAATTTTTTCACTCTTGTAAGGGATCCCAGATCTAAACGGTTTGAGAACCACTGGKTTAAATCATCATGAGAGCTGTAGTTCAAACGGCTTCTAGTCAACACTTAAATTTTACCTAATTTCCCTCTGGGATCAATAAAGTATTTTTGAAATGAATTGAATGGAACTGAATTGAATTGAATTGAATTGAATTGAATTGAATTGAATTGAATTGAATTGAATTGAATTGAACTGAATTGAACTGAACTGAACTAAACTGAATTGAATTGAACTGAACTTAATTGAATTGAATTGAATTGACTTGAATTGAAGTGAAAGTGCCGGTTTATACTTCATTACGTATAGCTTGTTGACATTGTTGCATCCAAAGTTGCGTAGCTTCCATCTGTTATCTCCTGCTGACACCTGTCATGTACATTGCCCCATGGTTAACTCTGTCCTGCAGACCTATGCGGCTCACATGGTCAATGCTTTGTGGCTGTTTCTGTTTATGCAGAGCAGCACTTCCTTCTGTGTGTCAATTTGGGTGGCTGTGGCAGAGTAGTTAGGGGGAGTTGTCCTGTAACCAATGGGTTGCTGGTTTGATCCCCCGTTCCAGGCATCTCAGTCACTGTGTCCTTGGCCAAGACACTTCACCCACCTTGCCTGCTGATGTTGGCCTGAGCGCCGGTGCATGGCAGCCCCGCCTCTGTCAGTGTGCTCCTGTGCAGTTGTGTCTACATCGTAGCTTACTCCCTTTGGTGTGTGAATGTGTGTTTGAATGGGTGAATGACTGAAGTTAAAGTGTTTTGGAGTCTGTAGGAACTTGATAAAGTGCTACATAAGTTCAAGCTATGTACCATTTTAACAAGAAAAAAAGAGATTTTCATCTTTCAACTCCTCACCCAATGTCTGATACATAGACTGAAAGTAAAACTATCTATCTCCTATCACTGTTTTTGTTTAGTTATTCTAGAAGTAAAAATGTGATCCTCCACGTCTTTAGCCCAACTATTACAGAGCCCGTGAGGGGTCATGGGAGATTTTTTTCTTTTGTGTTCCCACACAATAGTATTACCTCGCAATACCTTTTGCGTTCCCTCGCAAAAGTTGTTTTTTCACTATTTGTGCCTGCCGGTTTAGTAACAAATTCACACGCTCACCATTAGCGAGTTAGCCTACTGCTTTAATTCAGCTTCAGAATGAATATATCACACAGCCACGCATGGAAGTATGTCATATGCTGATATTTTAACACAGTGCAGCCATGCAACATCAATGTCAATTTCACGAACTTGTGGCAAAACATCCTGTTTTGGTAACCGGATATTTCAAAATAAAAGTCTGATTTAATTCAATTCATATGCAAAACAAACTTTTGCATGGGAACGGAAAAAGTTTTGCGAGGTAACACAAAGATATTGCGAGGTAACGCAAAGGTATTGCAACTATCGCAATGGCATTGCGTGGGAACACAAAAGAAAAAAAATCCCCCTGTGTCCCCTCGCAGGCTCCGTAAACTGTGAACACTGTCAGAAAAAACGTCTGAAATAACATAATTACTGATCTGCTGTCTGATATTGAAGTAAAAACCAGGCTTTAGTGAATTTAATAACCCCTTCATGAGTTCTATGACTTCATTTGGTTTGTAGGCTCACATCCTTTTCTGTCCTCTCTTCTCACCACTTCACTCTCACCTAGAGTCTGTCTAAAAGTCAAAGGTCACAATCCTTGTGTTTCCGTGGTGAGCGAACAACATGGCTGCAGCCGGGTAGTCTGAATGAGTTTCTGCTTCTGAAATGGAAACATCCAGAGGCAAGAGTGGTGGTGGGAAACACTGAAGTAGGTCTGTCTGCTTCTGTCAGAGTCACTCATTCATTTACTTAGTCCCGTAAGTATAACCAGTTAAGACATTRTTAATCCATTCACTCATTGTTTGTGTTTGCAGGTATTGAAGTCAAGTTTAAGAACATGGTTTATCCAATCATCCTGGCTCCAGCCTTTATCCCTGAGCTGAATGCAGTGACTCACACTGAGGACGGTGAGAAGGAAACAGATACAAACAGCACTAAACTTTAAAARCAGAAATATTTTCCACATTATAATATGTTAAATATGGTCCAGATGGGGGTAAAAGTGATTTTTGTGTTCAGGTATTGAATTCGGTGCAGCATGCACCCTGACCCACATGGCAGCAGTGCTGAGGCAGGCGGTGAGGACACTTCCTCCTCACCACACTGAAGTTTTCCTCGCCATCCTGGAGCAGCTTCAGTGGTTCGCTGGACAGCAGATCCGTAATGTAGCTGTGAGTCCTTGATTTAGTTCAGGAGTACAGTGGCAGTCAGAGGTTATCAGTGATTTTATCATTATAATTATTAACCTTTATTTAACCAGGCAAATCCCATAGAAATCCTAGATCTCTTTTACAAGGGAAGCCTTGGCCTCAAAGCATCGTGACATGCATGTTTTTGGTCTTCTCAGAATTTTCAGGAAATACACAGCAGCACCAACAAAAACTTCACSAATACTGTCAGTCAAGTTTTATTAAATAGAGGCAAGAATCCATTTTAGATAATTCTGAATTCAGATGTACAATTAAATAAACAGAACAGACAGTTAATCAAAYGGTTTAGTGGACTGGATGTTCCCCCAGGAAACAGCCTAAGGGCCTGATCTACAAAGGCATGTATAAAAGCACATGCAAACGTGTTAGCTGATTTATTTAATGTGCACTGAGGAGTGGTCTGTCAAACAAGCAAAATAGAAGACATTTGATTTAACATATTTGTCTTCATGAATRTACAGAAGATGATAATTAGAAAAATACTGGGCGGAGGAAATATCTGCAATCTGATTTATCAAACCTAAAACTGATCGCTGTTGCTCTTTTTGTGTCTATACTTAGCATGTTTGTAAGGCAGGCGCAAACTGGCACCACTCTACGAACCGATGTCTGCTTTCATTTTAGCTAGGCATCGTTACAACGACATACGACAAAGAGAGAATGTTCTGTGTGTTTGACATATTTGGACTGTCACAAATACTCCCCGTGTTGACGGCCATGTAGTGCACGCAAAATCCTCATTTCAGTAGGGCGATCTGCATCCCTTTTGCACCTGTTATCATTTTGCAAATGCATTTTTACTAGATCTTCCACAACACACCCACTAATAGCATGTGCAAATTTTGAGTTTGCACAAGCAATTTAGCACTCATCATTTGGGATTTTAGTAAATAAAGCCCTGGTTCTAATTCAAACACTTGTGAAGGTGGCATAACTCCAAGAAATATACAAAGAGACAGTTTGTGTCTGAAACTGGGAGACATATAGACAGAGGCAGGATGCTGTTAGTTGGCAAGGGAAGGTTGGAGGTTTTGCAAAACATTTGACATCAAATAATTTAGAATGGTAAAATAGATACAGTATATCCAGGAAGTATACTTTTCCCACTGAGCTCAGCAAACTATATACAACACTGACCAAATGAAAAAGATATTTTTGTGTTTTACTTGCGTTGTTGTGTTTGAAGGCTGTAGGAGGAAACATCATGACAGCTAGTCCCATTTCTGATCTCAACCCTGTTTTCATGGCAGCCGGCTGCAAACTCACTCTGATGGACAAAGGTAACACTTTATTTACATTAGTAAGCCTTTAAATATTAAGGCATTTTGACCCTAAATGATCCTGAAGCTTAGGTCCGATACTGCACAGTAATTTGGACTTACGTAAATCATGTCATCATATTTTGTTTACTTGTTCCAGGAGGCCCTGCGGTGACCTTTAAACTAAAGTCTAAACTGCTAGTTAATGTTTCTGCCTGTTAAATGTACGTTACATAATCAGAATCTGGTTAAGAAATCTCTTTTAATCCTACTGTATCAGACTCTGGTGAAACCTGTTAAAATACCAGAACATGAAGTTATAAAAGTTGTTAGTTAAAGCTGCGATTAATTTGTGGAATGATTTCTTAGCWGTTTGATTATTTTTGATCTTGTACCAGTTCAGACAAGTAACAGCAAGCCAAAAAGCATGGCCCTGACCTTTGACCTTTCTGTTTAACAGATGGAAGTCGTGAAGTTCAGATGGACGACACGTTCTTTACGGGTTACAGGAAAACGGTTGTACGACCGCAGGAGATCCTGCTCTCTGTACACATCCCATACAGCAAGAAGGTAGGGTAAGGCATCACCATAATAAAACCAAACTGTCAATCGTCTCAAACAGTGGCACCCAACAATCAGTGATGTAATGACATTGAAACCCAAGAAATCTTCACAAAACATGCAGGGCACCATTTTATTGCCTAGTAACTACTTTAAGTACCACCAGTAGTACTACYTTTTATCTACTGTGTACAGTAAAAAGAAACCTTTGTCGATTATCCTCAATCCCTAAACTTCAACGATCTTTTAACCCAGCCAGTCACTTCCTCCTATCTATTATCAGCTTCTGTCCAACACCTGTCGATGTTCTGTTTCCTTAGTCTCAGTTCGTCTCAGCTTTCAAACAGTCCCCTCGCCGTGAGGATGACATCAGTATTGTCACAGCAGCGATGAGCGTCACCTTCACTCCCGGGACTGATGTTGTGGAGACCTTGAGATTGAGTTATGGCGGCATGGCACCAACCACAATGCTGGCCAAGAAGACGGCGACTAAACTGCTGGGAAGGTAATAAGTCCACTGTGAGTGTAAAGATGAGGGAATGATGGAAAGATGTAACACTGTGTGGTGTCATACAGGAGGTGGGGGGAGGAGCTTCTGCAGGAAGCTTGCTCCTCATTGGCTGAGGAGATGGCGCTCGACCCCTCAGCACCCGGTGGCATGGTGACATACCGGCGAACTCTGACTCTGAGTCTGTTCTACAAGTTCTACCTGACGGTGCTGCAGAAACTCAGGCTGCAGGTCAGCGTTTCACCTGAAGAAAGTAAGTTTTGGTTTGCAGTTGTCTTAAACAACTGTTTTGTTTTATTTGTTCTGTCAGGGCATCGAAGTGCAGGAAGTTGGCTCAGAGTGTCTGAGTGCCACACAGGTCTACCATCACGAAACACCATCCAGTATTCAGATCTACCAGGTATGTCAAACTCTGCCCCACTGAGGCCAAAAGCAATCAAATATTTACTGCTTGGGTGTGACTCTTTGCTCTGCCTTCAGGCAGTGCCAGACAGGCAAAGCCAGGAGGATGTGGTGGGCCTTCCCATAATGCACCTGTCGGCCCTGAAGCAGGCCACAGGGGAGGCAGTTTACTGCGATGATGTGCCGATGTACGAGAATGAGCTCTACCTGGCACTAATCACCAGCACCAAGGCTCATGCTCGAATACTGTAAGACATCTGCAGCACACCTATGATGTATTAGTGCTGGGAACGTTAATGTGTTATCATTGCGTTAACAAAGCCAATGTTTAACAACAACAACTATATTAACGTGCATTTAACATACCTTGAAATTCTGCCCGGTCCATTTCTGATGCTGTTAGTTTTTCTCAGAGTTGTAAAGTAACTACAGTAAGTACAAATACTTTTTTACTGTACTTAAGTAGAATTTTTGGGTGTCTGTACTTTACTTGAGTAACTATTTTTAAGCATACCTTTTACTTCTACTTCTTACATTTTTACAGTTATCTGTACTTTCTACTTATTACATTTTTAAAAAAGGTAAGAAGTAGAAAGTCGTTACTCCTATTTCATTACAGTTTGTTGTTAAAAAAATATCCTCCTGCATTGAGTGAATTTACAGTAATTGTGGTTGGATGAGAAGTATAAATATATATCATTCTGATCCTGTATTAGTTTGCACACAATCCACCACAGCTGCAAATAACACAAATCACACTCCAGCAGAACATAGCAGATATACTGTAGCCTAGTACCAAGATGTCTGTGGCATACATACATACAAATACAGTATATATATATATATATATATATATATATATATATATATATATATATATATATATATATATATATATATTAACTGAAGCAGGTAGACTAGTTCATCCTAACTTTTTTAACATTAACGTTTTTATATGACAATATAGCCATTTTGGCCTTTAGAAAAACATTTTTTGAGGGTTTCACCACCTCTCAATAAATGTCATTTTGGGAAGTCTAGCCACTCATTTCACTCAATACTTTTACTTTCAATACTTAAGTACATTTTACGTCAGAAATTTACTTTTGATACTTAAGTACAAAATGTATTATATACTTTAAGACTTTTACGCAAGTAATATTCTTAGAGGACTTGAACTTTTACCAAAGTAATTTTATGGTAAGATAACTTGTACTTTTACTCAAGTATCACTTTGAGGTACTTATACAACACTGGTTTTTCTTTATTTTTAAATCTGTTGTTCACATGCACACAGATAAAGCCAGTGGGTATGGGGTATGAGATCTTCCTCATTAATAGCTTTGGATGGCCATCATGGCACGTCTTAACCAATGAAAGCCTTTGTTTTGTAGAGCTGTAATATAATAATCCTATACTGTACACCTTTACTGTATAACATACCTGTATCATAAACTTCACCTGCACTGTATTACACACCTGTGCTGTATAGCACATCTACCGTATTTATTCAAGTATAATACATAAAATTTAATCCATAAAATATCCATAATGTCGGGGGGGGTGGGGGTAGTCTTATACTCGGGTAAATATTTTTACTTATGTATTTTAATCGGCTTCATTCACAAAATGCTTGAGTCCAGAAATGAGACCGCATCGTGAAAAGCAGCTGAAACGAGCTCACCTGTGACACTCCTCCGTGCTTCAGAGCGAGATAATAACAGATCCAGGCAGGCGACATGATGTAAAAAAAAGGCAGTCCTGCACCTTAGTAATGATAACAAACTAATGACATTAGCTTGTGACCGGGCCGCTCCTTGAACAACAAACACGTGTTCATCTGTAATGGCTGCCGTCTACCGGTGTTCTGAAAAAGTTTGTATCCCTGAAAAATGTTTCCCCACCAGAGGGGGCGCTCGCAAGTAGGAAGGAATCTGCTTTTCCCCCAGAAGATGGTCCAAACCTCATGTGAACCTCATCTGACTTTTGTGTTGGCRCCTCCTGGTGGACTATGTGTAAAATGCCAGAATTCATATGATGCTGCTACAAAGCTCAAAATCAGTTTGCTGATATATATTTGTTGTCAAAATACCTTTTAGTACATATGTTGTTAAAATAAAATGAACAGTCCAATGATCATTTTACTGATATGTATAAAGACTGCAAAGGCTGAAAAATCTTGAAGTCTGTGTGAAATTGGAGGTAGTTTGAGGATTAAATTTTTATGCTTTTTAAGCTCAAAAAGGGGGGGGGGGTCGTATTATACATGAGATCATATTATACACGAATAAATACGGTATATTGAATAAAAAACCTGTACCATAGCACACACCTATAATCATGTGACCATTTCAGCTCTGTGGATGTGTCGGCAGCTGAACGTTCACCTGGTGTTGTCAGCTTCCTGTTTGCTGATGACGTTCCTGGCAGTAACCTGAGACACGACGAGACAGTCTTTGCTGACAGCAAGGTATTCTTATGTCGATTTGACCAATCAGAGTGCTCTAAAGTTTAGGTTGATGACGTGTTTGTTTGCTACRCAGGTGACCTGTGTGGGTCACATCATTGGGGCTGTGGTAGCTGACACTCAGGTTCATGCGCAGCGTGCTGCCAAAGCTGTTAAGATCCAGTATGAAGAGCTGCAGCCTGTTATCACCATCCAGGTGAGGCTAGGCACACCTGGACTGCAGTGGACCAACCAGGGCTCAGCTTCTCTATTTTGATTCTTCTGTAATTACATTTTTKGTTCATTTTACTGACAGGAGGCCATTGCTGCCCAGTCCTTTTATGAACCAGTCAGAACCATTCAAAACRGAGATGTTGAGGCAGGATTTAAACAGGCTGATCACATCCTTGAGGGTAAAAYTGTCTCTTTGGGTCTACTTRTGATCATCTTCCATTAAATATGTGYTAATAACTGAYTGCCTCTCAGGTGAGATTCATATCGGAGGTCAGGAGCATTTCTACCTGGAAACACAAGTCACTTTGGCTGTTCCTCTGGAAGATGGAGAGATGGAGCTCTTTGTTTCCACTCAGTCTCCTTCTGAATCACAGGTAATATCACTCTGAGACCTTGAAACTAAAGAGCATGTCAGTAAAATCTGGAGTACAGGTGGTGTTGGTCAGAAGTCGCAGTAGTGAATGGCAGCCTCACTTGCGTGAATCTGCCCAGGGCAGCTGTGGCTACAATGTAGCTTACCACCATCATTGTGTGACCTTTGGAGTCCTTGGACTTAAAGCTCTATACATGTTCAGGCCATTTACCTTTTGCAGTTTCTCAAAAATCCTTCAAAATAACCCAAAATACAGCTCTGTTTTAGTTCACTTTTAGTAACCTTTATACATCTGGCTTTTACTAGTATTTTGTCACTAGTTCTCTTCTTCTTTTGTCTTAATTCAGTTTCAGCTCCTTCAGTAAATTTCAGCAGTCATCTAACTCTTAGCATCAAACTGTATTTTCTTTAGTTTTTTTTTTTTTTTGCTTGTTTGTTTGATCAAATAAGGCCAAATTTAAGGTGTAATTTTACAGAAAATCACAAAATCATTAGTCCAAACAATTACAAATCATAAGAAAACAAATGTAGAGAAGCCCTTAAAGGGCTCGACACACGAGGAGTGACAAACTACAGCGATTAGCGGCTGTCATCGCAGCCAGGGTGAAACCCGACACACGGGACGCGATAGCGATCACAGCGTTGCGAATCGCGCTCTCAGATCGCTTGTCTTCACAAAATTTGMTTGGTTCTTGACTCTGAAGGCGGGTGTGCATTACAGACGTGTAAACTAAACAAATCTTGCGATGCTAATGATATTGAAAAACAAACACACATCAAGATACAGTTTTATGCGGAAAAACTTACCATAAACTTCACCCTGGTGCCAATAAATTCCCACAAAGTTTTTTAGTAATCACTTGGTGAAAGTGTTAGCTAACTGCAGTGTGTAGCATACTCTCCTCTCATTGGTCAGCCAATGAAACCCTCGCTGATTGGTAGTACGCTAAGCGACAGCGACAAAAGTTGAACATTTTTCAACTTTCATGTGTCGCGTCACAAGCTCGCGTGTGCACGTCTACGTGTACGAGCGCAAAATTTCACATGCACTATTTTCGCCGGTCGCTTAGCTGGAGGAGGGCAAGYGATTGTCGCCTCACCGCACAGGCTCCATAGGAAATGAATGGAGAGCGAGAGACGTCGCCTCCCGTGTGTCGAGCCCTCAAGACAGTCCTCCCAAGAGGCAACAAAGCACAACTGAGAACAACTAGATTTCATCACATGACTYTTGTCTGTCTCTGCTTCAGTTTTTTGTGGCGAAGGCCCTGGGTGTTCCTGCTAACAAGGTGTTGGTCCGGGTGAAGAGGATGGGCGGAGGCTTTGGAGGAAAAGAAAGTCGGACTATTGTGTTGTCTCCTGTGGTTGCCGTGGCAGCAAACAAGTTGGTGTATCCATTTGTTTGTTTTTTTAAACTGTAGTCCTTTAGAACGTGATGATAAGAAGATGTTTTGGTGTTTCAGGCTAAAGAGACCTGTCAGATGTATGCTGGACAGAGACGAGGACATGCTGATCACAGGTGGACGACATCCATTTTATGGGAAATACAAGGTGAGAGGGCACCCTCTGCTGGTGCATCACTTACATTTGTGAGAAAGTTAGATTATCTCTTTGCTTCTTGCTGCAGGTTGGGTTTCTGAACAACGGTAAGGTGGTTGCTCTGGACGTGTCCTTCTACAGTAATGCTGGAAACTCCATGGACCTCTCTCAGGCAGTGAGTATCATCTAGAACAGGGGCTCTTAACCTTTTTGACCTCGGGGCCCAATTTGTTCAACATAAAGAGACACGAGGCCCAGATACACATTACCATATGGATCAAAATGATAATTATTCTAAATCTCGGTATAATTTGTATTGTATTTGTATTTTAACTAAATAAAATGCACTTATATTTTAAAAGCAAAACTCCTGTCAATTAATCATAAGATATGATTATGACTTTTTTTATATTGAAACCTGCCCATAACAATTATTTGAACAAATACAACAGTCAGTGAACAAACCACTCAGGCTTATAAAAAATAAACATTTTTTAACATAAACAACAAAA